GTATACCACAATAGTTCCCATGAATTTACATGAAAATTTAATATTTGGTGTGTTTAATGTAAAACGTCAATGATCCAATTCGCAGTTAAATTGGAATAATTCTTTATTTATATTTAAAGAAATTAATTAATATAATGAAATATCAGTTTAATGTAATTTGCATTGTTTTTTTAAACACAATAACCATTTCAAACTCATAACAGTTAAGGGGTCTTTTTTTCAGTAGTCCCAACCTCCCCCTGAAAGTGTACATGAAAATGTTGATTTTTCGAAACCATTCTCTTTTTTTTTTGTGAAGTCAACTGAAGTAATGTATTGTATTTGGTTGCAAAAAATGTCTATTGGATCCATGGTTCTATTATAATTGATCATAAAAATTATTATTTTCAATATTACATGATATTTTGAATCAAATATTTTCATGCATATGTAAAAGTGTACAAAATTGTCTAACCCTTTCCTTCCAGCGTACTATTTGTACCCTTTGTGAAAATATTGATAATTATGAAGGACGCCTAAGACTCAAGCATTTAAAAAAAAAAATTATTTTGGTATATAATTTATAATTGACAGCGAAAATCTGAATTTGATGGCATTACATTGTTACAATATAAAAACATATGAATACATTAAGAAAATTAAGAGGCATTGAGATTGATTGGTATATACAGTACATTAAAATTACTAAAATGAACTAAACAATTGCAATTAAAAGTTGAGGTGTTATTATTTGCTGTCGAAAAAATATAAATTCTGAATATCCAAAAAATAAACCCTCAAATAGTTATACGCATTATTAATTTATGTTCACAGCTCATCAAAATTACCATATTTAAAATATATAAATTTTACCTATTATTAATGTATTTTTCCATAATATTCAAATTACAAATATATAATACAGTTTGCATTAAAAATTCTCGAAAACACACCAAACTCGAGCAGAAATATTCCGTCTTGAAATTGGTCAAGATGTCATTCCCCAGATATTTTGGGTGCTAGTGCAGCATTGTAAATGCTGATAAAAGAGTTGCTACAGCCAGTCACTAATAAGAAAAACAATTTAATATGGGTACAGTGTATGTATCACAAGGAACAATAAAATAATGTACAAACTGAAGGTCAATCAACAAACAAAGCAACTACAGTACAATATTAATGTTTAAACAATTTCAAATTTAATTTATTGTCATTTGCAACGCTCACATTACATTACATAGAAATTACTGTGGCTCTTTTTCACATTACAACTAAAGTACAACGCAACAGACGAAGTAGCACTAAAGAGAGAAATATCAGAGTAACAGTGTTATTGAATTGTATTGAGGGTCCGGATTGCTAATGGAAAGAAACTCTTTTGGTACCTACTTGTACGAGCATAAATTGAATGATATCTTCTACCGCTGGGAAGCAATTCAAAGAGAGAGTTACCAGGGTGTGTTGGATCCTCAATTATACATTTTATTTTTTTTAATATCCTAGCATTAAATATGTCCTCAATATCGTCCTTGTTGTGACCGATAATATGAGAGGCATATTTAATGATACGTCTAAAGGTCATTTCGGTCAGACTCGGTAGAACCACAATACCAAACAACAATAGAGTATAAAAGAATGCTTTGAACAACAGACTTGTAAAAAATTGACATAATATTCCTACTAACCCCAAAAGATTTAAGTCTCCTCAGGAAGTAGAGTCGCTGTTGAGCTTTTTTAATGCACTTATTTGTATTTTCTCACCCTTTCAGGTCATTAGTTAAATAAATCCCCCAAAACTTAAATTTATCTACAATTTCCACAGAAGTACCATTGATGGTAAGTGGGGTTATTTCTAATTTACGCATTCTAAAATCAATGACCATTTCTTTGGTCTTCTTGACGTTCAGCACTAGACCATTTTGGTCACACCACTTAACAAAATCTATTATTTGGCCATGATACATCGCCTCATTGTTATCGTGTATCAGCCCAAAGATTGTGGCACCATTGGCAAATTTGACCATATAACAGTCATTTGTATGCAGACAAGGTCGTGAGTATTAAGTAAATAAAGGAAAGGTGATAACACGCCCCCTTGTGGCACGCTCAAAAAGCTTTACATAAAAAAAATAATAAGCCAGTCATGAATACTATTTCTTTAAGTAAAAATGAAACATTTTTTTTTTCAGTGCTTCCGGAACAACCTAGAAATATTACAAAGGTTCATGCTGAATCCTTAGACAAAGTGCATCTGGTACACAAATGCAAACTCTACCACGTTTCGCTATCAGTTGTTTGCAATGATATTTTTGAGCAGATTACTGATGCAATAGTTGTAACGACTTTCAGCAAGAGTGTGGGCAAGATTGAAGTTTCCATTGGAAACAGAGCATTAAATCTTGGTAAAGTTCTGTTTTGTCACTTATCTCCCTAAAAATTGTATTTAGTAATAGCACTCTCCACACTTGGGGTGACTTTGTGGCCTTTAGGGCCCCAAGGCGCTTCTTTGAAAAAAAAGTAAATATGAAACAGGGCCGGCGAAACGTTTTTCAAAGTGGGGACACACTAGTAAGATGGATGGGAATATGAATCGGGGATGTGGGTTCAAATTTAGGGTATGGGTCAACATTTTTCCAAAAACCCCAGAAAAGAAGGGGCTCCCCGGGAAAATATTGATTCCAAGATGGTGGGAAATGAGCTTTCCCGACTTCTGAGGCATCTTTTAATGACTTTCAAGTTCTAAAAAAAACGATTCTATTAATCAGTAAACCCAAAAGAGAAAGGGGATTTGGGTTCTCCCCGGAAAAATGTTGATTTCTAATCTTCCCAAGATATGTATTCTTTTTTCCATGAATCGATAAATTCCAAAAAGAAAGGGGGTCCGGGGAAAATTTTCTTATTGTAAAAAAAAAAGAAAAATTCAGCTCATGGGTTCTTAAAATGTAGGCCTAGAATTTTTTAATTTTTTTTAATTTTTATTTTTTTTTTCCCAAGGAAGTGGGTGAGGACCCCTGACCCCACCCCCAGATCCACGAATGTGAATTGCGAGAAAATTTAACTGGGTCGAGGACTGGATAAACACTCTCTTTCCGCTTACCTCTCCTCTCTTTTCTTGAATTTCTTTCCGATCATGCAAAAATCTCCATACACATTATATATTTTCTGCCAAAATATGTGGAACCGGGGCCAACCCTGTACCCATTAAGTCAACATATCGGCAGCATAAATACATAATGTGCAACCTCTACCACTCCATGGGGGTATTTTCTCCTCGACAGTGGCGTAGGGACAGGCAGTACAGCCAGTGCAAAGCATTGGGACTTGGGGGTCCATTCATATAGGCCTAAAAATAATAATTAAAAATAATTTTAAACTTTATATTTTTGAAGAAAAAACAGCTAGTGGGCCCCTCGATAATATTTAGGTTTTTAGAGGAATAATTATTGATTACTGTGTACATTTCACGTGCTACTAATTTTTTTAATTCTTTTAATTGCTGAGATCGAGTACATCCCTCCAGAAATAGTTACGAAGGTTCTGATTATCGTTAGCATATATTTATAGCCTAGGCCATTAGGAGGTGTAGGGAGTAAACTGATAAGGAGCACTTCTTACTATGATTTTTCACAAAATATAAATCACTAGTCCTAGAATTTTCGTTCTTTAAATTCAAAATACGGATCCTGAAAATTTAAAATGTCGGAACTTTTGGTAATTCTCCTACCCTACCTTGCAAAATTTATTTAGAATTATAAAAACCAAAATTGAGAAAACAATTTGTATTGAAATCAAAGTCTGAGAGTTCCATTTCCAGGCATCTAGAGGGGCTATATTCATAAATTTTCTTACCTCAGCCCCAGCCATGGTGGCTCTGAGGGGAGAAAAACCACAATTCGTCTGGAAGAAAAAGAATTATATGTATTTTGTACATATTAGTAGACTCTAAATCAATTAAATAAGCCCTTGAAACTTAAAATTTGTCCAATTTTTCGGGGGCTTGGCCAGTAAAATTATTTTTCATATATAATTGCCCCAACATCTCCAATCCTTGTATTATGAATGACAATGATGCCCATGGTTTTTTTTTACGTCCATAAGTTTGTTCATAATCATGACTATCAGTTCAATCAGGTGTTAGTTCCAAAGTTATTGAACTTCTGTCCATCCACACTTTGATTATTTTTGTAATACATTGTATTAAACTAATTTTATTTTTCAAAGGTAAGTTTTATCTATGTTTTCTTCATTTATCTATGTACGCTTGTGGAGTATCTAATAAACAATACCAAATGATGATAAAAGTGTAATTAAAGATATAAACATCATAGTTTATTTTATGTTTCTTTTTGGGTTTTTTTTTTAAGCTGGATATCGTGCAAGTCAGGAATTTGATGAAAAATTAGGAAATTTGGAAAGTGATCATATTATTACAACTCCAGGCGGAAATCTTAAATGCAAGTATATTGTTCATATTGACTTCCCAAGTGGTAGTAATACCTTGAAGTGGTGGTCTGTCCTAACAAGGAACATTATCAAATCACTGCAACAGTGTGAAAAGCCTCTCAGATGTGTGTCTATTACCATCCCACTCTTGTACAGCAACAGTATGAAAAATGATTCTAAATGTGCAGACATCATTGTCTCAGCAGTTCTTGATTATTTGGAACACATGTCTAGCAGATCAAGTATTCAAGAAGTGATATTTATTGATGCAATCAAGCAGAAGGCAGCTTGCCTCAAGGAGACCTTGGAAAGTAGAGTCAAAGAGAGAAAAGGTAGGATTATAACCAGTGGCGTATCTAGTGGAGGGTACACGTCCCTTCTAAAACAGCTTGCGCCCCCACCCCTAAAAACAATCGCAATCAAGTAGATAAAATCCTTTCATACTCACTTTATTTTGAGAGCTAGCGCCCCCTTCCCCAACTTAATCATCGAACTCCGACTTTATCTTCACCCCCTCATCAGCCCCACCCCATTTTGAGATTCATACACCACTGATTATAACCTGAAAAAATGCAAGATTTTGCTGGGTGTGGTACAACACAAATGGTAAGATACTGTATGCCTGTAGTTCAAAGGGCAGAGTCCCAGTGAGGATCCAAGGATGCAAATCCCCTGAAAGCTCTATACTAGTACTAAAACCTGGGTTTTGGTCTTAGTAAATAGTAATTAGTGCGAACTAAGGATGTAAATAAAGCAAACTCGCAATATAAGAAGCCTTGATAATATTTTAAATTATTATTGTTTTATGGTACAAATAAACAAATAAACAAATAAACTATACAAGATGTATACTGTGTAAATTAGTTTTAATAATGGTAACTCATTCAAACAAAACATCGAACCATGAAGTCATTCACACATGCAGTTTATCGCTGCGTCAATCTGATGTTGTGTCTATGGGTGCCTTAGGGGCCTCACACCTACCCCTAGATCCAATTTGGATTTTCAACTAATCTCTTGGGGATTTAACATTACGCAATGACAATCTACAATAATGAGGTAATTTCTACCATTCACAAAGGCAAAATCAACTGCAATTTGCTGGAACAGTCTGGATGGTTGCGGTTTCTGAATCAACGGTTCTCTGTGGATTGAGTGGTAGATTGTCTTGACAAAACTTAAGTTTTCTGTCAAGTTCTTTATGTCTTGGTCAATGTTCGGCCAATATACAATCATGCATGCTCTATCCTGTGCTCGTCGAACTCCAGGGTGTGCATGTTGTAGCTTTTCAAGCATTTGTGGTCGGAGAGATTCAGGAATGAATAATTGGCAACTGAATACGAGAAGATCTTGGTCAATGGATAAATCAGCATGAATACACCAGTATTTCTTGAGATTCTAAAGAACTTAGTTTGTTGCAGGGAATCCGGTGGTTAATACCATTTTCTTTAGGGCTTGATACTCTGCATCATCCTTGGCAGCATTGATTATATTGAGTAGTCTGGCATTATCTTCAATCATGCTGTCACTAGTTGCTCTAATTGCACCCAATGTTCTGTAGGTACTGTGTCACTACGTTCGTGACCATTGACAGCTGGTTGTTCAGCTAATTCATCTGCGCTCACAGGGTCACAGCTTGGGTGCTGTGACAGTGCGTCAGCAGCGTAATTTTCTTTGCCATTAACCCTTTGCACATTGAAATTTTATCGAGACAGTCTAGTCTAGAGTCGTTGTAATCTTACATTGATGATGTCGTCTAATCTATGCGTGTTCAATATAGGAACAAGTGGGTGATAGTCTGTCAATACATGAAAATGATGTAATCCATCCAAAAACATATAGCATTTCTGTGCTGCCCATGCAACAGCTAACAGCTAACATACCTGCTTTCAGCATTTGTGAGATATCTTGATCCTGCTTGTATGGTTTTCCATTCATCACCATCATGTTTTTGCGATAGAATTTATCCAATGCCATGTCTACTGGCATCAGTCGTTAATCATGTTGGCTTCTTTTAAGTCAAAAAATGCCATAGTGTGTGCTACAGAACGTTTTTTCTTAACCTGGTCAAAAGCTTGATCATAGTCAGAGGTCCACATAAATTTGTTCTTTTCAGACATTAATGGTCGTAGTGGAGTCATAATCTGGGCAATCTTACTAGTCGATGAGGCAAGTTAGTTCACCAGTCCACTAAATGCTCTCAAATCTGATCTTGAACTTGGCTTATAGGAAAGTTATTGATGGCTTCTACCGTCTTGGGACCGATTGCATATTCCTGACATGACAACGTAAATACTGCAAAGTTAACCCTGGGTTGACATAATTGTATCTTCTCAGTTGATAACGCTATGTGGTGTTGTTGACATCTACGTAGGTTCTCTCTAACAACGTTCTTGTGTTCGTCTCTGGTCTTAGTAAAGATAACCACATATTTGACAATCCTTCTTTGGTGATTTAATCTTTCTAGTGCTGAAATGGATGTGATACCATATAGTACTCTCGTATATCTATACCGTCCAAAGGGTGTAATGAACGTGGTGTAGGATTGACTATTACTCTCTAGAGGAATTTGATGATATCCTTTTCATTTCTTTTTTTATTTCAGACAAAAAGTCCATAGTGGTAACAGGTAAAATATATTAAATAAAAATGGGTCTAAAAACAGACCTAAATTAGCTAAAATAATAGCTCACTCCATTTTCTATATAAAAAAGAGCACTTAAATAAATTAAACATAATGAGTCGAACAAGGCTATTACCAGAGTTGATTAACAGACTCCAAAAACTATATGCATATTTCCTCATTAATTCATAAAATGAAGGAATACCAACAGAGACAAACATACCACTAGCACTGCAGTGCTTGGGTTTATGTAACAACATCCTAAGTGAATTGTTATAACAAACTTGTAAGTCCTGAATGGTTTTACCTCTGAAGTTACACCATAAATTAATGCCATATAAATTAGTACAATAAGAACGAAAAATACAACATTTGGTATCAAGAGAACAATTACTATTACTTTTAAGAGCATCAGATGTAGCAATATCAGCAACCGCTTCCTGAGGAGTAACATGGGGATAATACTCTCTTTTAACACACATTTGTTCAAATGTGATAGGTCTACGCAGATTCTGATCTTCTCTGCGTCCATTTTAGGAGCTATAACAATCGGGGCACACGAGTCAGAATACACTGTTGTTTTTGTTATTATACCTTAGCTTTCTAGTGTTTCCAATTCTGCTTTCAGTTTTTCATTATATGCAAATGGAATTTTCCTAGGTGTGTTAATATAGAATGGCTCTGCATCATCATTCAGTTTAATAGTGAACTGTTCATTTGGCATTGGACGGATTTGTTGATCAAACACGTCAGGAAATTCCTTTGATAACATAGCCATGTTGAACCGGCGTGCATGAATTGGTCGTGGTGGAGGTACTGGCTGAGTAACCAAAGCAACCTCCTCACAGTTCAGCAGCTGAGGGTAATCAGGTGGAAGAAATCCAAGTTGTTTGGATGCGCTCCAGGATAGCAAAGTTTCCCGGATGTCGTGGGAAAAGTAGAGTTACACAGTTACACACCTAGTGTCAGTTGAAAAGATCACCGGCAAGTTTAAGCAATGTCGTGGGAGCAAGACAAATATCAGATCTAGAATGAGGTAAGGTTAGAACCTCTATGTTGTGGTGTCTATGTCATACTCACAGTAGCTTGTGGAGCATGGATAAAGCTAGCCTTGTTGTCTCCCTTGCTGCATGTATTAACACGTACCGCACGATTTTGCGGTCTTGATCTGCAAACAGTGGCGAAATGTCCATGTTTGTGACATGTATTACAAGTAATGCCAGATGCAGGGCAATGTTGACATCCATACTGATGAAGTCTAGCTCTAAATTTGTCTTTCAAAAATTCATTTATCTGACCTTGAATATGTGCCTCAAGAGACGCGACTGTAGCTGAGACTGAGTAAGACCATTAAAATCTTCATAGTCTCCACTGAGAGGCATAAATGAAAGATGTTCACCTGGGCCTGACCTGGTTGTTTGTCAAGATTTGTCACGGCGGTGTAGGCGTTCCACTGGGTTTGCCACACACGAAACTCCGAGAGCCTATCTGTTGCCAAATCGAGCTTAGGTGGCTGAACTTTAATTGCTTGCAGTGCCAGGTTTTGTGGTACACTGTACTGCAAACAAATAAACTATACAAGATGTATACTTCTGTGTAAACTAGTTTTGATAACGGTAAACTCATTCAAACAAAACAACATTGAACCATGAAGTCATCCACACATGCGGTTTGTCGCTACGTCGATCTGACGTTGTGCCTACGGGCGGCCTTAGGGCCTCACAATTATCATGAAAATATATCTACAAATTTAGCAGACATTATTTTTTATGGCTCAGATTGTGTTCATTAATTATCATAATATTTATAATGACTGTAATTCAGTAGATTTTAAATGCTTATTTATGCTTATTATTTAAATTTTTTTAAAAGATGCAAAGGTTTATCAAATACCAACTCAGTTAATGTGCGAATACATATATCCTGTCACGCAAACACGCTTAATTGTTGCTAGTGGTGACCCAAAGAAACAGCCTGCCAATATTCTTGTGAATCCTTCGGCTGATTTCACAGTTGCTTCTTCTGGATTAACTGCAAGAATCCTTATTGAAGGTAATATTCACTAATCAAATCTAAAACTTATTATTAATATTTTATTTATTTATTTACCATCATAGATGAAGATAATTAGAAAAATCTATTTGAAACATGTAGATATCTCGCACAACTTCTCATACTAAGAATGTAAGATTTATTTAATGAATTGCAAGCAATCTGTATTTCTTCTTGGTGTTTTAATGCATTTTGACATTATACAGTATCTAACCTGTATTGTATGCAATATGTAAGGTGAGACTTTTTTTATTCCTTGTTTAGCGTACTTATTTTTTTAAGATTTTCGGAGGAGGGCGGAATAAAAATAAAAATAAAATTTTGTTTTCTTATTTAGCAAATTGTTTTTCCCAAATCATCCAGACGCAGGAGAAAATATAAATAAAATTTTATTGGTCAATGTAAAATAGGATGTATATGCTTTAAATTTATATTAAGAAATACATATCTTAACTTTAGAGATTTCAGGGCAGCTGAGAGCATAATAAAAATAAAGAAAAACTTTTTTTTCTGAAATTTCCACTTTTTCGTGACGGCGGGTGTGCTAAAATAAAATTAAAATTTTATTTTTATTCGAAATCATCAATATTTGCATTCGGCAGGTTTGCTATACAAGGCATAAAAAAGTCTTACTTAATAAATATAATAAGTGCTTTGAGATTGTTCTTGCCGCAAGTCACTAGAAAAGTGTAATTTATTATTATTTTATTATTTGTAATTCCATTATCCTACTATGTCATATTCAGATATTTAGGACGAGTGACGCTCTATGTAGAATGGAATATGCGAGGGTTATATAATCCCAGTATAGAGTATGCTGTCCTGTATATTATATATACAACCAGATTACAACAACTTACTGGACATCAAAAAGCCATTATCTTTGTTCTGTTTTTTTTTCTATCCGTCTCGATATATTATCGTACATGGTTGTTCTCTCCACCACTTTGGTCACTTTCAGTGTTTGGATCTTCTTTAAACTTTGTCCAAGACCATATATCGAAGATGTGCATATGTCATATTACATGTTTTGTATGGGTTTTAGGTATTTCAAACTAGCTACAGCTAGGTTAAATGAAAAACCACCATGAAATGCATACAAAATTTCGCTCCAACCTATGACATTCACGGAAGATTAATTAAAAACTTACTGACCTTCGCAGGGTCAGATTGTATGGTGCAGTGGTTAAAACTCTCCACATCACCTTCACTATTACCAGTGCAGCCCTATTTCGAGTCTCATTTTACTTCATAATTTCTTTATGATTTTCTTTGTTGTATTTTTTTAATGTTTTTTTTTTCTTTATAATTTCAACATTAGTTCTCATTATGTCAGTGAGGCAAAGCTCTATGTTGTTCTGTTTTACAAATTGAAATAGTAAGTCTAGTTTAATATCTAAAAAAGATAAAAATTAAAAAATTTAATAATAAGTCCATACTTTTGTTTTGTATGCAGCTAGTCTGCCGTTTGAGGTAATGCAGAAGGCATTTAATAGTCCTGGGATGAATCTGGTTGTAACGTCAGCAGGAAAGCTTCCATTTCAATATCTCTACCATGTACGAGGAAATAAAGAAAATACCACCACAGACTATACTCAACAGCGTCTTCAGATCGAAGCATGTACCCTTGACTCACTAAGGAGGGCTGAAAGACATGGCCTAAAATCAATTGTGCTTCCAATGATCTACAATCGGTATACAAGTATCGGGCGGTACCAATGCGCACACATCATGCTTGATGCCATTGGTGATTTTGTGAACAAGTATACGCCCAAAAGTGTTAAAGAGATTTATTTTTATACTGGGTATCAATCTGATGCTCTGAAGCTCAAGGAGAACCTTATCTATCTTTATGGGAGGAATGTTAATGTACAAAGTGAGTAATATGGTCAGTTAATTAAAAATCTATGAAATGCTAACACTGTAAATTGGTTAGTTTTTTATATGTGTATATATACTTGTATGGAAAAATTTCTGATCAGTCTCAAATTCCTTTTAGATTCTGACTTTCCATGCTTTTAGATCAGACTCTAAAACTCTTTAGAAATGGAAGTCACACAAGGTGGTTTAAAGTTTCTAGCCTTGTTTTCAAAGATGAGTGTTCATCAATAAAATCAATGTCATATTATCTTATTGGCATTCCTACCGACAGGGGTTTAGCCAGAAAAACGAAATAGGCCATCCAAAATTGAAGCCAGTGGATGTGGCCCTGAGCCAGAGGATGGGTCACGCCCACTCGAGGTCACGCCTCCTCCCAAGCATAAGAAAATTATGATCTTTAGAGGGCATTAAAGGTGTTTAAATGTTGAAATTTCGACATCAAAGGAATAGTGTTGAATTAGCTATCACAAGGATATTTCAGTTATAGAGATAGGCCCAATTAGGCTAGGCCGAGCTGATTAGGCCAAGCCGTCACGGTAAAAGTTTCACTTAATTTAAATGGAATTATAGTGTTTGTTTATTTTTTTTTTTTATCAGAGTAAGCCCTATTTAGTGCTCCTATACCTAGTTTCTGTTTTGTTTCTGTGTGTGATGACTGATTGTGCAGTAATATTTTCCCCAAATTTTCCTAATTCAAATTTCATGAGTCGGAAATTACCTTAAAAACAAAGAAAAATAGTTTCCTACTTGTAAAATGCTCCCTAAAATTGTTGAAATGCATTTTCAGCCATCTATAAACAAAATTTTTTTCTGGGATCCCTTAGTGGGGCAACCGCTTTCACCCATATACAAAGTAAGTTCTATGTATTTTTAAATTGATGCTCCCCTTACTCAAGCTGGTTATAGGCCTGACTGCACCCACAAGATCCACAGATACATACTGTAAGTATTCGATAACACCAAACACCAAGTCAGCACAACTTACCCAATGTTTGTCTTGTCTTGTCAATACTACACAAACCGCCTAATTAAGGCTATTGACGTGTAGGAGTATCGTGTTTGTATCCAGCTTGCCATGGTTCTGCTTATTGACCTCTACTGGTAACTGTCCACATGATTAAGTGGGACAAGTGAAATGATATTTGTTGCTGAGGGTGAAAAGTTTTATCTGGTCCTTTGTATTTTTTTGCAGGCGTAATAATGCCCACACCAATACAATCAAAATAGGTGTTGTCTCAAATCAGGAGTTGATAATTAGTAGCTGCCATTTTTAACATCTCAAATGGTGAATCTGCACACGTCGGGCCCTCAATTTTGCATAACAAAAATGATTAGCTAAAACTTAACTTTTAATTATCAAGTTTAAACAGCATTTTTAATGTATGAGTGCCATTCTAGAGTGCCATATTCTTAAAGTGTTGGCACTTTGGCCTCAACCTGATTAGATGAAATGAATATATAAATTATTTTATGTTTTGCAACATAGGTCAAGTTCCTCTTGAAGTGTTAGCAAGAGGTCCAGAGGCTAAAAGTGCGTTTATTGATGCAATACAAGAGGGCAGCAAACCCATCTACCAAACACGCCTAATGCTTGTTGGACCAGAGCGTGTTGGTAAAACCAGTCTCACCAAAGCCCTTACAGAACAAGAGTAAGTTATCTGTTTATTTATGTTGGATTTAAAAAAATATTTTTGGATGTCACATGTACTGAAGTAAACTGATTTCACTGCCTCCTAAATCTCCAACTAAATGTATTTTTGGAAATAAATTTGGAAATTATAAATATTAAAAGTTACTGTAGACATATGTCCATGTTTAATTTATTTTTGCTCAGATTTGACGCTACTGAAGAAGTTACAGATGGCATTGAAGCGTCATTGTCATGCACACTCAGTGTTAAGCATACCACCAACTGGAAACCAAAACTTCCTGAAGGTATACATACATCAACAATAGGCTACTTCATGTGTCCTTGGGCAAGACACTACTTCCACATTTCCAACTCTTGTTCCAGGTGTATAACTTAGTACCTGCGGTGCAGCAGTGGCACCAGAAATTCGCTGATGAGGGGTCCGATGGAGGGGTCCGATCCAAAATGTTGACGAAGCCTCGGTCGACAGCCTGGAATAAAAAAACCATTTGCTAGGGATCAGGGGAAGAGTTTTTAATGGCTTTATGATCCAAAATGTGCTTTTAGACCACAATATTAGGGACTGGCAATCAAAGTGACGTTATTTGGATAGGAAAGTTATTTATTTTTTCCAATTTTCGAGCCGACGACCTGGTCGTTTGTCGGATGACAGGTGGTTCAGGCCTGTCCAAACGGGTGGTTGGGGGGGGGTTGCACATTGCTCATGACTAATTCTTATCAAAAGCAGTTTTTTTAATTACATATGTGTTCTATTGAAATCAATAAAACAAATAGTTGCTTATCTAAATAAGAAATTACGTAAAATTGTCCAATGATGGTTCATTTTTTCAATAATTATTGATCGTACTTAATACTCAAGTTAACTTTCTGAGCCAATTGATTTTATTCAAAGATACAATAAGTGAAGCAAGGCAGCAGTATTTGAGAGCTGTTGCAGAACAGATGGCAGAAAAGCAGAAGGTACAAAGAGAACCACCAGTATCTCAGGTTTGTATTATCCTAGACATAATTAAGTTTCATTATGAAGTTATTATCACTTAAAAACAAATCCCATTTATATGAATAAATGTGTTCACTGATTTTTTATATCCCCCTCTTGCTAAAGACATACACAATTGAATTTCAATTATATATTTTATGTACTGTACATTTCTAATAGTAATAGGATTTTATGTTGGCATTTTCAATTTCTTTACAATTCAGCCAACAAAGAAAGATGAAATCAAGGCACTTGAAATTGTAGAAGTACCGGATGTTACATCACCTGATGAAATTGAGCAATCCTTTGACCAGATGACAATATCTCAAGGTATGAAACTACCTTTACATTTTAAAAATCATTCAGGTTTACCAGGAAACATTTACTTTATATATTTTCATAATTTATGACTTAATAATTTAGGGGTTTTCAAGACCCATATTTTCAATAATTAGTGAAACTAAAGTGAACATACTGTATAAAACCATAATAATAATACAGTAGAGGTGTATATCCATACCAAAGTTACTATCATTTAATTTATTTTTCTTTACTTTTTCATAGCATTCAGTATACTTGTAGGTTTTCTCCATTCCCATAAATTATTTAGCCTTCTTTATACATATATTTAACTACAAACAAGAGTAGATCTTCAGTACTGATCATCATGACAATTGATAACATTTAACAGTATTTTTACATGCTTCTTTGACAGACTCTCCAGCTTCTGAAGGTGAGGTGAATACAATGGCCTCATCACAAGGTGATTCAGCTTCAGTAACTACACCAGATGTTCTTGAAGAGGACCTTCAACTTGTCATAAAATTTCTCCAAGATAAAGAAAAGCAAGGAGAAAATGAAGGGTTAGAGCAGACACTTGATGACTTGACTCTGAGTATCTGGGACTTTGCCGGACAAGATCTCTACTATATCACTCACCAGGTGTGGTTGCTAGAAAATGAAACAATTTTGATATTAATTTCTCATGAGTAAATACAACTGCACTCATTATTACTTGTAATGCAATATAGCATACTATACCCATGCCTTAATGCCCTTAAAAAATAAGGGGAGAGGGAGGAATTGTGATGAGAAAATAAATTGCTGAAATGATATGACCCTATTACAATTGGTAACCATGATAACTGCGAACAAGTTCTAGAAGAGACGGAACAGAAAAGCCAAATATAAATGTTCGCCTGCAATTTAAGATTATAAATAAAAACATGTTCATAATAATTCTTTTCTGTAATTTGATAGTTTGAATGTGCTTTAAAGTATAAAAATGAAACATGTATTTATCTGCATTAGTTTATGTCTGGATTTTTAAATTTGGTTATTATCAAGATAAATTTATTTCAAAATAATAATAATATCATCTTCAACATAAATTTTACAGTTTACCCAAGAATTTTTTAATGTATAATTATGTTGATATTGTTCAGGTGTTCTTGGTATCTCGTGCTATCTACATCATTTGCTTCAATCTTTGTCATGACCTCCATGCACCCGCTAAAGTTGGGATATATAAGCGAGAGGGTGGTAAGGTAATGTCTATTTATTTAAATCCTAACAAAATGCAATTTCTTCAAACAAACAAAAGGTTTTTAGCATTTTTCTGTACTAAAAAATAATACAGTAAATATAACATTTGATTAAAATTTAAAATTGATAATAATAGTGTACTAATCCCACCTATTTATTCTATTAACTTCCATGCAAACAATTACACACACACACACACACACACGAATACATCCATGCACACACCCACAGACAAATGTAGAAGCATGAGGATAATTTGTTTATCTCTACAGGTTATATTTTCTGAACATCATATGAGCCTCTTGGATTTCATCATCTTCTGGTTACGGTCGATCTACTCAAATACCACCGAAAACAAATCAGTGGCAAGTCAAGAGCAGTTGTCACCACCAGTGTTCATTGCTGGCACACACAGAGAAAGCTTACCAGGAAATGCAGAAGAGAGACAGGCGCTAGTGAGTATGCATGTGGTCGATATTGACTAACAAAACTAATTCACTTTTTGTGTGTGTGTGTGTGTGAAGTGCATTAACTAAATTCTACATTTTCGTATAAGAGATTTTGGAGATATGTAAGGTCAAGATTGAAGTTGAATTATGTAAACATGATAGGCTTTGGCACTTCTGATGATTAGTACCCTAAATTTGTTGCTAATACATAAATTATAATTAATTTATATTATTATTATATCATTTGTGATAATTTTTATAATAATATTAAGGTACTCCGAATCTCTTTGCAATTCTTCCTTATTACTTTTTCTTCTATTTTGTTTTTTTGTTATGTATTTTGTATTTTGTTATGTAACAGGTCTCCCCCCAAGTCATGGGAGTCTCCCACACTTCCGCAAGCAAGCAATGATCTCCCAGAAAATAACATGTCACCCACAAATGAATAATACTTTGTATGTTTTTACTATTTTATTATCAATTATTGTCTCACGAAATTTAGCTCTTATGGGTATCGCGATGCACAGCAAAATGATATTCATTTAACCAGATCTCCCGTTACAGACTTCTTCCAACTTGGGACCCTGCAATAACAGTCATGAAATACTAACATTAAGATATGCATAATATTATGTTGTTTTAATATCATACAATATTTATAATGAATGTAAATTTAGAACACATTCCATTATAATTTAAATACAATAATACTAAAACTAATGAACTATCACAAAACAGAACTGTGTGTAAAACAGGTTGTTACACCCTCCTGATATGTTATCCTGTAGACATATGTTCAGTAAATAAATACATACATATTAATAATTGTAATAAAAAGTATAAGTAAAACTATTGAAAATATTTCATTACCATAATACATATTTCAAATATTAGAGCCTGGCTTCTAATAATTGAATGACCTGTTAAGAGCACGATCTCCTTTTGACATAAACCCAGTAGTATTTGATTATAAAATTAATTGTAATTTAATTGTAAGGAAATTTACTCATGATACAAGAATAAAGTTAGTTTGTACCTGTATTTGATGTATGCATTTTTTAAAATTTTGTATTATTTCTGAATTACAGGTAGATGAGAAGTTTGCAGTTATCAAGGAGGCATTAAGAGGGACCCCATACGAGGACCATGTAGTGAGCAAGTACTATGCAATTGAAAACAGCCTTAGGTCACCCCTGGATCAAGCTGTTGTTCACTTGAGGGAACACATTACCAAGGTTGCTAAGTCAGAGCACTACATGGGGGAGAGAATCCCCATTAAGTGGCTATACTTCTTACATGAGATTGAGCAGTTGCGCAACAAACAAACACACTCAATCAACTTCACAGAGGCAAGTAGCAATGATCTGCTAGTTATTTTGACAGTGTCCCCCAATAGATTTTTAATGGGAATCATAGAATATCTGGCCATTTGTTCTTATGGATAAAGGCCTTTGTGAAATAGAATACAGAGAGTAAGTGTCGGTGAAGAAATTGTCTGCATTCCTAGCGTTGGCATTACAATGATGACATCATGATTGACTGACAATACACCTTGGTTACCATAGGCAGTTGTTGTGTTACTCCTTGTGTACTACAAGCATTTGTTAGCTACTACATCTTGGTGAACAACATGTGGTTGATATGTTAAACGTTGGTTGTCACAGATTGTATTTATGTTACACAAGTTGGTGGTAGATATGTTAAATCTTGTTTACCATAGGTGTTTTTAGGTTGCACTTTGTTACAGATTGATATATGTTAAATCTTGGTTGCAGGTCGTTTTGTGTTACACCTTGGTTGCTACCACAGCTGTAATTACGTTACCCCTAGTTACAGTTGCTTACCTGCTAAACCTTTGCTATCGTATTTTGAATAATGTGGTTGATCTGGTGTTGTTAACACGTTGACTGCCAGACTTTTTTTACATTTTGTCCTGTGTGCCAGAACAAGTAGTGTACTGTACAAACATACTTTTGAAATTTTATCACATATCAAAATGGTGTGTTTAATAAGTTTGTAGGAAAATATTATGGAACAAGTAAACTTGTCACTGTCAATGGGACAGTATTTTTTGTTGCCTTTGCCAAGTGTGAGTTTTTTCATCTGATTTTTGCATGGGTTGTTATGTTCAGAGGAGCCACCACATGTCATCTTTTGTACTGCCAGCAACATAACAAAATAAAGGTACATTCCCCTAAATTGAATAAGCGCCACACCAAACATGATTCTTTTGCTAGGCGCCGCTTCCGAATAAGAGCTGTTCAAGATTATTCTGTTTTGAATAAGCTCCGATGCGCTTAATCAAGAGTACATACTACCCTGTCTGTAATGAAGCACTTTGAGAAACTTTGAAGTACTATGTATACAGTGTTGAAATGAATAAATAACACAATAAAGACACAAACATATCTTTATACATTATTTACAATGATGTAGGGCCTGTAGGCCTACCGAATTACTGGAGTATGTTTTTTTTATAAGCGCCGCTCTCGAATAATGGCTGCTCTGAAACCTCAAAAAATTGTATAAGTATAAGGCGCTTATTCAAGGATTTATGGTTCCCAAGTACATTCTTCCCTAGCACCCTCAGCAATTAACACTAGTTGACTACTTGATGCTGGCTGTTAAGTTACACCATGGAATTGGTTGATGTTGATCTGATGTTTTAGGAACCTTGTAAGTCCATAAATTATTATATATTATTACAAAAATCAGTTGCATGAGTATTTGAAGTTCAACAAAAATTTCTTCCAATTACTGAAACTTGTAACCAGCAGGTGAACGAACTAGCTGCAAAGTGTGGTGTCATCCAAGAAATTCAACTGTTCACTATGTTGCATTTCTACCATGACCTGGGAAACATCATCTACTATGGTGAACGGCATACACCAGGCAGTGCTCTCAATGATATCATCATCCTGAATCCTCATTGGTTGATATATATCTTTAGGAGAGTGATCACAGTCAAAAATCCATCAGAGCAAGTATGATGTTTAATCAAATAACTCAATCTGGTTTCAATGTGTTACTGGTAAAACTAAAAGAAAATTCTTTTTAAATAAAAAAATAAACCAGTATATCAATTGTTTTAATGTTATTTTTCATTTATGAGACAATATTATTTTTCTGTTATGATGCTGTCTAGTTGCATTAGATTTTGTTGTTAATACTGTAATCATATTTAGAATAGTCCCTTTTCAATGACACATTTAAGTACCAACTTAAAGTAACAACTTTAAAGTTACAGTTGATAAATATACTATGTAAATTATATATACAGTATTTAGTCAGTACTAATTATTATTATTTTTCTAGGATTATAAAGTAATCTAAATTTATATTGGTTGAATAAAGGGAATACACTTTATACAAATATTATTCTTTTGCTAAGTGGGCCAAGTTCAGACGTTCATGGAGAAGACTTGATGAGAAGGGACTCTTGGAAGAGAGGCTGATTAGACACATGTGGCATGACTTCCTTCACCTATTAGAAGGCTTGTTACAGCTGATGCAGAAGTTTGACTTGCTGTGTGTCAAGACACACTCTGCTGAGGTACAGATGCTGTAATTTGTCTGTTTATTGTTTACTAGCTCTTTCAGATACTTTAGAAGCCTTTTCATATCATTTTTTTGTTACCTTGCACATTATGGTATATATAATTTTGCTTTCTGTTAGATGCCAGCCGTTGTCGGATCACCCGAGGAAGGGAATCGTCTCTTCTACGTCCCATCCCTGCTAAAGAAGCAAGAAGATGAGAAGGTGTGCATGGATAAGCTGATGAAGTCTAAATCAGTGGTCATCTTGTACATTGACTTCAATGGGTTTCTACCTGAAGGCTTGTTCTACCGACTTATTGTGAGGCTTGTGCAGTGGTCACAGCATAAGGGAGGCTATGAGCCTAGGCTCTTCTACCAACAGGCCAACCTTTATGTGGATGAAGATCATGACATGATCTTGAGGATCCTGCCTCAGAAGAGATCTTGCATCCAGGTAGTTAGTGATGGTGGTCAGGCTGTTAATGACGATTATGGCAACAGCAGCGAGGGATCTTGATGATGATGGAGATGGTGACGATTACAACAACAATGTTGACAATGACTGCGGTGGTAGTTATGATGGTGATGATGATGATGACAGTATTCAAAAAGATAGTGACAATGGTGACGTAAAAAAAAATTATTATGATGGTGATGATGACTGCATTGTCAGTAATGTTTGGCATTCATGCAACTGCTGATTTCAAGTCTCTTTTGTGATTCCTTACTTGGATAGCCTAATACATATTCTGTATGTATATTTATCTATGCAAGCACTGTATCCAAAAACAATATTATTCTTAATAATTTTGTTATTTCTATTATTATGAATAACACATGTTAAATAACAAAAAGGTATATCAACACCTACATAGCTACTTGTATGTACCTTTTTTCAATTGATTTCATTTATTTCTCTTCAAAAAATATAAGCAAAACTTCAAAAACAATAAAAAACGAAGGACAGCACAGAAACAGTGACAAGGGATTCAAAACAAAAAGTGTCAATTTTGGGCTCCATCAAATAAAATTGAATATCAACAATTAAAACTTAATTAAATTAAAACTCTCTATTAAATACTGTATCAAATATGGTAGCATAATTTAATTCACAATAATGCAAATTCCTATTTGTGACCCATATAGGTAGCTATCATGAGGGCTACATCAACTGCAAGGGATGGGGAAGTTGAAGAAGATGATGTTGAGCCGAGCCCAGTCATTTGCAAAATGGTGAGTATTATAACACCAAAGTCATTGTTTTTTATGTTCTATTTGCATTTTCTTTATTTGTTTTATTTATGTATTCCTATTAATTTAAGTCTTTACATTCATAATAACAGTTTAAAATAAGATCTAAATCTATTTAAAAAAATGAATGCCAATCAAATACTGTAGCAAAATTATTTGTTTAATCCTAGAGGAATAATGTTTTGCTTAACTTATTTATATTTTTTCGTTTTTGTATATTCAACAATTATAGGGGCGTGTGGCGTAGGGGCGTGTGGCGTAGGGGCGTGTGGCGCAGCGTGTAAGCTGTTGGACTTCCGATTGCGGGATCGTGAGTTTGAGACTGACGCTCGTTGCATTGCTTGTGTCCTTAGGCAAGATAGTTTATTTACGTTTGCCTCTCTCCACCCAGAAGTACAAGAAGGTACCTGGTGGGTTTGGACACAACTGCGCTGATTACTTGCTGCAATATTATGAAATTCTACCTAGGGAGCCGAGTATGTGTTCCATACATGATTGATCCAATGACCGGGGTAATAATGTGAACGCCTAGAGGCTTCAGGCATGAAAGCGCAGGCTATATAAGACCGACATATTATTATATTTATTATTATTAATTATAATTTGTGTTATTGTTCTTAAATTCATGTTCAGTGTCATTTATTCCATGCATTTATATGATTTGTGAAGTGTATGTCCTTTAAAAATTGTTATATTTTAAGTTATATATTTATATTTATTAAGATTAAATACTGAAATAAAGTATACAGATGAAAAGAATACTAGGCCTAAAAGAGAACTGGTCAAAAGGATAAGAATGAACAGTTTCCATCCCACTTCATAAAAGTCTGTTAATTTGGTGCTATGTTTTTCAGAAAAAAATTCAGATTTTTTTTCTAAAATTGAGCACTTTTTACAGTTGCTAGCACTGCTGGAAATGAACCTGCTAAACCTTGGACATACCTGGAGGATGAAACGCATTGACTTTGACTTCTGCATCTTGTGTAGTGCTTGCGACAGGGAGGAGAATCACTTCCATAAAATGAAGAAATGCTTAAAGGAGAAACGTGTTCCATGTGGGATCCAGCGAATGGAGACAAGACAGTTTCAACGCTTGTTTGGAGATTGCACAACTATGCAAGGTAACTGTAAAACTCCTAGACTACTCTAAATGCTTTATATTTCATTGTGTGAATGGATGAAAAAATTGTTAGGTGTTTTTTTTTGTTATTCAAGGTATACTACCTGCCAAGAAGTTCAGAAAAATGTCACAAAAACTAAATTTTGAATTACTCATTTAAAAATTATGAATATACCTATACAAATTGTGAATATACACATATCTCTGATTTCCTTAGAATTTGTTTTGGCCTGGTCCATGCGCACAAAATGGACAAGCAGGCACTGAATGAGTAATACATATTCATTTCTTTAATATATATTAATATTAATTACAATTTTATCATTGTTAACTTTTTTGTTTTATGTTGTGTTGTCTTATATTTACAAAATTGTATGCTATTTGAAAGTACAAATCCCTTTTCTGTTTAATGCTGTTTTTTTTTTCTTAGACCAGTAAGTAATATTAGGTAAGGAATAATCTCTTATTAATAAAAATAATAATAATAATAATGATAATAATAAAAGTAATTTTTACCTGAGTGAACTATATTTATCTTAATTTAATTCAATTTTATTTATACTGTATATATATTTATTATGTTCCTTTTATTATTTGCTTTGTTAATTATTTTATTGTGATTTATATGTATTATTTTATTTTTTAATTACTTTTATTGTAATGATTTTTGTTATTATGTTCAGGTGGTCGAATTAGTATAGGTGTATTTCACCTGATTTCTTCCACCTTGCTTACTATTGTCCATTGTATGTTGTGAGCTGAATTTGAATAAAATAAAATAAACATGAGCTTTTAATGATTTTAAAATTATATATAATTTGGAAGCTTGAAAAACTGAAAACTATATTTGAAATGAAGTATTTTTATTAATATTTTATTTCTTTTTGGTAAGCCAAAATGTTAAGTATTGTAATTACCTTCCTACATTCCGGGTGGTCCTCAGCTAACCTTTATCACGCTAATGACGACAATCTGTTTATTGCGTATTGCTGGTAGCAGGATTACACTATGTACTATGTTGGCTTATGAAAGAAAATACCAGATGAAATTCTTCAAGAATTATTTTTATAGTGTTGTATTGTTATTATACTCAATATAAGTGTGAATAAATATTTAATTGACCTGAACACATTGTTTACCTATTTCAGAAGCCCCCAAATCCACTGCTACTCCAGTAAAGCACCAGGTGCCTGTTTTTCTGCGACCACTTATCGGACTTTATGGGGAAATATTATCACCTATCCTGCCATTTGACCTGATGACAGAGATCTGCGTCCTCCTTGACCCGCCACACCCACTGTCCAATGATTGGAGGGCCCTAGCCTCGAAGCTTGGCTATGATCACTATATCAACTATATGTCCATGAAAGTTAGCCCTACCATGTGTGTACTGAATGGGTGGTCTGAGAAAGGCTGGTCAGTTGAGGATCTTAAGAAGAGTCTGGTGGCCATTGAACGTCATGATGTTGTACGGTTGATAGACAAGCAACTCCCAACAGAAGAGTGAGATGTATCCCATAGCTATGCATTTGTGCTCTTTCTTGAATGCGTCTGCATAAAAAAAGAAAGGAAATTATAAACTGTCATAATAAAAACTAATGTGCACTGCATTTGTTCTTAAGTAGGCCTATTGATATGGTAATGGGTTCATTTGTGTAGTACATGAACAAATGTGAATTCTTTCACTCTATCTGTATGATGATTATGTTAATGCAAAATTGGACAGATCTTTATTGCAAAATTTTGGCTATACTATTTTGTACATATCAACCACATTCAAGTCTTTATATTTGTATTTTTGAAACGTAATTTTATATTAGAATATGTATTTTTAATGTTACTGTGATCTTAAACTTTCCATAAGAGCAGATAACTTCAATTTGTAATTTTATATAATTATAATTATATAATAATTTTATAATCCATTACTGCAGGGGTGGTCATAAAAATTGGTTGGATGGCCAAAGTGAATTTTTGATTTAACACTGAGGGCTGCACCCAAACTTTGATGTTTCAAGTGAGCTTCCAAAAACCTCCAAGCACTGCTATTACACACTTTATTCTCAGTTTCAATGTTACTTTTTACATATGATTGGTGTCGGACCATAAAAAACAAGGTGTTTTCTAGACAATTTTGATTGGCGGGCCGCAAACATATGGTTTTTAACTCATTGTCGCAGGTCGCAAAAAAATCGCTGATGCGGCCTGCGGGCCGCTCTTCGCCCACCTGTGCATTGCTGTGATCTTGAACTAAGTGCTAACATGTGTTTAAAATTCCACCTCAATGTATGTCTAAAAATCTAAATTCAGACCTGTATATACTGGAGACACAAAAAGATGCTCATTGTCTTCGAATTAACAGTCCCATTTGAATCACGCATTGATTCTGCCCACTCACGAAAAACCAATAAATATTCCACACTTGTCTCGGATCTTACAGACACTGGCTATGAGGGCCAACTTATATTTGTTTTGAGTTGGTTCCAAGGGATATATCTCTAGGGATTTATTAAGCGTCTGAAACAAATAAAAAAATGTGCAATAGCTCTGTTCCTTTTAAAAACATAAGAGACGAAATATAAAAAATATAAAAAATTGCAATTATATCATCATTTTCCATATACTATGCCAAAGATCAGCCTTGATGGATTGACCCTCCTTTCATGGAAAAATTTAATTTCAACCCCTGTAAAACAAAAAAAAATTGGCCTAATAATTCCTGATGATTTTAATGTTCTATTTTTATACTTGTTGATGGAATTGTTCTTCCTCCTCGTTTGAGTTTGTTACTGATATACCTTGCATGCTTCCAGCTATGGGACACTGGACACACATAGGTCTTTGTATGTTTCCTTTGTTTGATAATAATTATTTTGTTTAATGAAGTGATTTTGTATAACGAAAAAAACTAATGTGCACTGAATTTGTTCTTAAGTAGGCCTGTTGTATGTGGTGATGAGTTCATTTGTGTAATATGTGATTGGATGTGATTTTTTCCACTCTATCTGTATGATGACCATGTTAATGCAAAAATGAAGAAATGTATTTTGACATTTAAATTTTGGCTATACTTTTTTTTACATACTAACCACTATCAAGTCTTATATTTTTACTTTGTTTTACTAATCAATATAATTCTTTTGTGACAAAATATAATTTGAGCTGGTTTTTAATTTTATATTATTTTATAATAAAATGTATTTTTAATGTTAGTGTGATCTTTAACTTTCCATAGAAACAGATAAGTTTAATTTGCAATTTTATATAATTATATAATCCATTGTAGACTGGGTTCCAGTCTCTAAACTTTGTCTTAATCAGTGAAAATGCTTGAAAAAACATTAAATCGATTTTGGCACCAATGGCGTTACATCATGTGTTGCTGCTGAGCCCCTAATGGGACACGGTTAGAAAAAATATTATACTATTTTTTCGTTCCCTCGAAATAACATTTTGTTCCCTCAAAATATTATTTTGTTCTCTCTAAATATTATTTTATTCGCTTGAAATATTATTTCGTTCCCTTGAAATAATATTTTATATATACAGTAGTACGCCCCAGTGCCT